GCGCCGGCCCGTCAACCTGGGACGGTCGGAGCCTCCATTTCCTCCCCGCCCGCGGCCTCCCTCCGAGCCCCGGCCTCCTCTCTCCCCGAATGCACACGCTGAGCCCGAGCGCTGGGCGGTTCTGGCGTTGTCCACCCCCCCCCCCCTCTCCAATTCCCCCCCCCCCCCCCCGGCACCGTCGCCGCACGGACGCTGGCTTCAAGGCGGTAAGAGCAAGAATCCTGCCCAGGTTGGCCTCCGCGTCTTTGGGTGTTTTCCTGGAAAAGGTTCCTAGGCCGGACCCAGCAGTCGTATTACAAATGGGGCAGGCAGAAAGAACTTCATCAATGACAGGTTTGCAGTTGATTTGCCGTGGTGGCACTGGAAGACCACGGAGGATTCGTTCATGCCATCGGACCGCCCCACCTCACTGTTGTAGAAGAGCCCGGCATGGGCTTAAATTACAGAGAGAAGCAATAGAGTCTGGTGGTGAAGCCAGGTTTGGATTTGAATTCTGGCTTAGTCACTTAATAGTGGTGTGTACAAACTTACATCATTCAAGTTTGTTGTGAGGAGGGGTAAGTTGTCATAAAATACTTACTGAGGCCTAGCATAGTGTGTAAAGAGTTAGCCATTACTGTAGTGAGATTATAAAGTCTTAATTTAAAATTTCACTTACAGAATGAAGATTTGGACTGGCTGAGGTTTAAAGCCTTGAGATAGTATCACCTACAGCTGTGGCTGCAAATCACTGGTGCTGGGTTAACTGCTTTGAGGACTCTTCCTTGGTGTTAACCAAATTGGGCATTACCTCCCCCCCTCCCCATGTAAGAGCTGTGTACACTTACCAACTGGACTGCTGTTCTGAATTTTGAAGGGAAATTTCTTGTTTATGAGGTGATACTGTCATTTACAAGTGCAACAGGGATGGCTCCTACTGAAATTTCTCAGGAATGTTGTTAGAAATAACCAGCAATTTACAAAGTGCTTCAGAGTTCAGGTGTCCTTGCAAAATGACCATTGGTTCAGTTCCAGTCCACTTCATTTTATTTGGTTAGAGGCTGAAACATAGCCTGAGTGTGGCTAAGAAGACATAAACTCGTGGCAGTGGTAAATGAAGCATCAGCTCACCAGTTTAGGAAAATTACTTAGCTGGTCGAATTAGTCTTATTTTTATAGCAGAATTTTGAAAATCTGTTAAGCAAGCTAGCACAATTTCGTAATCTAGCCATAAAATTTATGTGACATGTATCAGAAACTTGGTGTCTTGAATTTTTAAGTGACTTGAGATTTGAAAGACCTAATTTCCAGCCTACCTGTTTATTGAAAGAAAACAATGAGACTGATACAGACATTTATTTCGGGGGGGGGGGCGAAAGGGAGGGAGGTAACAAGAGAGCAGAAGAGCTTGTGAGAATACTGAGGCTTGAACTGAGCACTTGAGGACTTTTCTCTTAGCTTTTTCTTTTCAAGACTTATATATTACCACTTGAGCCACAGTGCCACTTTTGGCTTTTTCTGCTTATGTTGTGCTGAGGAATCAAACCCAGGGCCTCATACATGCAAGACAAGCACTCTACCACTGAGCCACCTTCGCAGCCCCCACTTCAGGCTTTTTGCTTATTAGTTGGAGAGAAAAGTCTCATGGACTTTGATGCCCAGGCTGGCTTCTATCCTCAGGTCTCAGCCTCCTGAGTAGCTGTGATTAGCCACTGCTACTTGGCTTGACATTTACTTTCTGCTGCAATATGTCAGTGATAGGCCTCTGTAAGATGGAAGACATGTTTTGAAGATTATGACATTCTTTTATGACAGTCTAGTTGACTTAACATCACAATTCTCAGTTCTGTAATTGTTGTTGTTGTTGCCAGTCCTGTGGCTTGAACTCAGGGCCTGGGCACTGTCCCTGAGCTCTTTTGCTCAAGGCTAGCACTCTACCACTTGAACCACAGCATCTTATTGGCTTTTTCTGTGTATGTGGTACTGAGGAATCGAACTCAGGCTTCATGCATGCTAGTCAAGCCCTCGGTTCTGTAATTTTATGAATGCTTTTGAAAGTCCCAGTACTATAATATTAGCTTGTTCTGAAGACATTCCAGACTCCAGCACATAGATTTAGTATGATCATGAGCCCTCCAAGCGTCCTTGGACTAACCAGTTAGCAAAAAGCCAGAAGTAGAAGTGGAAATGTAGCAGCCAGGAACAGAAAAAAAAGCTGATCAAGAAGAGCTCAAGGCCCTGAGTTCAAGCCCTGATTCTGGCACTAAAATAAAAAAAAATTAATTTCTTGTTATTGGGCTAGTCTGCTACCAATTTGGTGATGTGAAGTTTGTTATATCAAATTTGATGATGTCAGATCTTAATTGACCTGCAAAGGTCAAGGATTTATGTGACTGTGTTGTCACAATGGTTTTCTTTATGTTTGGCTCTTAGAGTGCTGGGAATATGTTTTTTTTTTTTTTTTGAGTAATAGAACTTTCATCTGGAGTGGTCAATCCTTATTTCATCTGATGAATCTTCTTGCTTTTGAACTTTTTTTTTCGCCCTTGGGCCTGGGCTCTGTCCCTGAGCTGCTTTGGCTCAAGGCTAGTAATACTATTATCACTTGAGCCACAGTGCCACTTCAGGCCTTTTCTGAGTAGTTTATTGGAGATAAAGAGTCTCACAGACTTGACTGCCCAGGCTGGCTTTGAACCAGGATCCTCAGATCTCAGCCTCCTGGGTAGCTAGGATTGCAAGTGTGAGTCACATTTTCTCTCCTGGCTTTTTTTGTTGTTGTATGCAACAGTTTAGGTAACAACTTGTGCTGTCATCAGAGCTTAAAGTTTAAGGGAGCCACATGAATATCCTTAACACAAGTTTATAGAGTTAGAAAGTGATTGGAATCTTCGAGAATACATGGATCATTCAGTGTTAAGAGTGCAATAACCTTAGGTAGCATCTTGTTCTTGCCTCTGAAAGCACATACATGAGCCAGCTCTAGCTGTAGCTCAGTAGTGTCAAGCCCTTCTCCAAATCTCCCAATTCAAGGATTCAAGATTTCCAAATGATTTGCGTTCCTTTTAAAATTTCTGGTCCAAATATAACTATTTACTCTTGTGCTAATACTGGAGTTTAAAGTCATGATCTGGGTGTTTTCCCTTAGCCTTTTTGCTCAAGGCTAGTGCTCTACTGCTTGAGCCACAGCTCCACTTCTAGCATTTTGCTGGTTTTGGAGATGAGGCTCATGGACTTCCCTGTCTGGGCTAGCTTTTAACCAGGATTCTCTGATTTTGGCTATTTTTAAAGATGATTGCAAAAAAGTCAAGAAAATACACATTTGATTAACAGTTTATGATTGCAACTCTTGATTTATCTCTGAAGAGTGTGAATCACAAAAAGTATCTGAGACTAACCAAGGGAGGGCTATTGGTTATTGTCTACCAATAACCTGTTCCTTGTAGATGCTTTCGTTCTAGGCTCTACTCATTATGTAGCTCTAGTTATAACTGAAATGGTGGTCTTATGTGTGGCAACAAGCATTACTTATCTTGCATAATAGTTTTGTGAGGGTGTGGTGGTGCTCAGGATCAAATGGAAGGCCTCATGCTAAATAGGTGCTCTACCACTGAGTACACTCTCAGCCCCCATTCCTCTTTTTTTTTTGTTTGTTCCTTGAGTCTTATTATTAGTAACTTGGAATGTGAATGTGTTTGTCTTCTAGGCTCATCAGCAGAGCAGACGAGCAGACCGTTTATTAGCTTCGGGGAAATACGAAGAGGCTATTTCTTGTCACAAAAAGGCTGCAGGTAAGTGTGTGTGTTTGTATATGTATATGATTATGAATATACATACATGAATATGTGTATTATATGTACATATTAAACACTGATTGTAAAACTGAAGAACAATTTCTTTTTCCCAGTATTTTTCTTACCACATTTTTAGAATAACAGTAATGATTGATACCCTGTATCTGCTAAGATGGACCCTATTGACCCACTAGATCAGTTTTGATTATTATTCACATGTTGATTGGTTTTCCTAGCCCATACTGACTGACCTGGTTTTATTTCTGAAATACAGAGGCTTCCATACATGCTTTATTGGTGAATAATTCCTGGACGCAGTGATGCCCCTATTTACAAGCCAGTTGTAGAATTCTGCCAATTCATCTGAGAAGTTATAAAAAGGAGTCTAGGTTTAATTGTAAGGTATTTTAGTTTCTACAAGTAGTAACTAATTCTATCCAGTTCACTTTTTGCTTTCTAAGATACTGGCAAAATCCAGCAAAGTCCCTTGGCACCTAGGATGTTAGACAACTTGTCTTGTGATCTTTTCTGAATATTTCATTTCTACCCACATGTTTTTGGGACATGCTGGTGAGGGTTTTCATTTAGCTAGGAAGTTTGGAACTGTTGGGTTTTAGGGTTGGAAGTGGCTTTTAGGGCTGGAAGTGTAGCTTAGAGGTTGAGTGTGTGCTCAGCATGCATGAGACTGAGTTTAGTGCCTAGAACTGAAACAAAAGAGGTGAAAGAAAGGAAAAAAGGAAGTGTCAGCTTCTTAACCATAGGCCTCTATTTTAATCCTAGTCAGTCTGCGGCAGACTTAACATATGCCAAACCAGAAATAGATTTGAGGGAATCTGTTTTGCAGATACCAATTTCTGTTGGTTGAATAACAACCCTAAAGTTTTGGAGGATGGGGGTGTTTTACTTGAGTTGCATTAAGAATGATTATAAGATAATCTTTCTTATACAAAGTTCTCTGCAGTCTATTAGAAGGCAGAGGAAAGAATGTTATTTCACTACTGAAAAACATACCACACAATGGGCACTGGATTGGATAAGTTATCTTTTGTGAATTCTGTGTGTGTGATAATTTTTAGAGAAAAAATTATGTATGTATGTCTGTACACATATGCACCTGCCTGCATGCTCATTTGGCTTTTTTTCCCTGCTCATATTTGATACTCTACCACTTGAGCCACACCTCCAGTTCCAGATTTTTGCTGGTTATTTGGAGATGAGTCTTACTACCTGGGTGCCTGTCTTGACTCATGGACAGAGTTTGTAGCTTTTAACTGCTCAAAGGAGAAAGCAGATGGTAATAGCCCCCTTTGTCTCCTGTTCATATAACTTAATGTCTAAAATTAGGTGTTGGGGGCAGGGCAGGGAAGAGCTGTTGCCTTGGTTCTTCAGTTTGTATCTATTTAATTTCCCTGCCTCTTCATATGGCAGTCCTACTGCTGTGGCACCATCAACTGGGAACCAAGTTCAGCATTCTACCTTTCAAGAAACGTTGAAGATACAAACCAGTAGGGCATGGTGGTACATGCCTGTAATCTCAGCACTTACAAGAGAGTTTAAGGCTAACTTGGGCTGCTAAGACTATTATCAGAAACAACCATACCTTCCCAGCTTTCTGGCCGTTTGCTCTAAGAGGAAAGTCAGATTTTTTTTTTTTTTTTTTTGGTCAGTTGTGGGGCTTGAACTTGTGGCCTGGGTGCTGTCCCTCAGCTCTTCAGCTCAAAACTAGCGCTCCACTTGAGCCACAGTGCTACTCCCTGTTTTCTGGTGGTTTATTGGAGATAAGAGTCTCATGGATTTTCCTGCTCAGGCTGGCTTTGAACTGTGATCCGCAGATCTAAGCCTCCTGAGTAGCTAGGATTATAGGCGTGAGCCACCAGTGCCTGGCGAAAGTGAGAATTTTATTATTACTTAATTTTAAATAGATTAAGTCACTCACAGTTTTGTCCTAAGATCAGAGAGAGGTTTATTAAAGGTCTTCTTAAATGACATTGTCTGCTCAATAACTCCCTTATAGTATATATTGCTTTCTCTGTGTGTGTGTGTGTAGTTGTATTGAGTTTTGAACTCAGCCTCATGCCTGCTAGGCAAGCACTCTACCACTTGAGACATAGATCTAGCTTTATAACAACATGCTTTTCTTGCTGTTCTGTTTCTTCCCTCCCTCCCACCCCCCTTAGCCTTGAACTTATGATCCTCTTGTCTCAGCTTCCTAGGGTTACAGGTGTCTGCCACCACACCTGGCTTATTCTTGGGGCTCTTAACTGCTAATTTGCAGTAGGTTGCTAATATAGTGGAGACAACTTGATTAAAAAAAAAAACCCACAACCTTACAGGAGCCAGAATGACAGAATCTAGGTGTTTAGATGGGTAAAAATGATAATTCCTTGGTGTTTTTGTGAGCCTGGTAAAATAGGGTAAAAGTAGCTTCTTATTTAATTTACCCTAAAAACATTTTTCTAACTAGAGCGTTTTCAGTGGATTAATTGCAGAATCTATACACTTACTTAAATTATTTTATTGTGTAATAGATCAAAGGCAGGGCCTTGTTATTGCTGGGGGGTGGGTGTTCTACCCTAAATCACACCCTCATCCTCTGCAGGGATTTATATATACAAACCCCTCAAAGTAGGTTAGGCAATGTTTACATATGTTAACCACTGACATCCTCTTAGGAGAAGAATCCTATGTTTCAAATTTCCAAGTAGAGCAGATGTGCATATAAGACCAGTTCTCTTTTGATGAGATGTATTAAAACTCTTTTAACCTGTTAATTACAAAATGATAATGTCCATATATTAACATGCCACTTTTTTTTATTTTAATATACCAGCATATCTTTGTGAGGCCATGAAGCTGACACAGTCTGAGCAGGTGAGGCATATTCCTAATTTTTAAGTAAGGTGAAGCAGATTTTCTTGTGGAGACTTGAATTGTGTATAAAATAAAGCATGAGGCCTTTCTTAAAACAATGCCTGAAAAATGTATAAAATGAATTCCTCTGGAAAAAGTGGGAACTCTTGGTGTCCCAGATATGGCATGCAGAACCATCTTAAGTTATTCCTGTGGATCTCAAATTGGAAGTTATTTCCTTTAGAGACCCTTTTAGGACCTTGCTGATGATCAGCTCATAGTTGAACTATTAACTCACAGTAGGTACACAGGTCTGGCCAACTGTGTATTGATAATCCTTTGCTTGTCAGCGATATTTTAAATCTGAATAGTCTCCTATATGTTCTTCTTAGGAAATTCTTGCACTTGAACATTTGTTTCATGAGCACTAAATTGATTCCTAAAAATTATTTCTTAATTATTAGCACCTGAGAGGTATGTAATATTTTCACTAACTAAAGTGGTTATTTATGTGAGAAGTATCAGTGGCTGGGAAAAACCACTTGATCCCCAAACTGAACCAAAGGAACTTTAAAGCTGCATTTGCGATGGTATAGGCCCTACTCCTGTAAGCTATGTCCTGCAAATGTGCATTGTGCCTTCTGAACACCCTATTGATAGGAAGTCTTGCAGTTTGGCTAGCTGTAGAATTATTCCTAAAGAGAAAGATTTCAAGCCAGGCATTAGTGGCTCACAGCTGTAATCCTAGTAGATCCTCAGGAAGTTGAGATCTGAGGATCTCAGTTTGGCCAGCCTGGGCAGGAAGGTGGGTAAGTTGCTTATCTCCAATTAATCACAGAGCAGCTGGAAGTGGAGGTATGACTCAAGTGGTAGAGTATCAGCCTTGAGTGAAAAAGCTAAAGGATAGCAGCACCTAGGCCCCCAGCACTGGACCACACAGAAAAACAAAAAGATGATTTTAAGACTGGGGATCTAGTGCAGTGGTAGCATACTTGCCTAGTACACGGAAACTGCCGTGGGTGTGATCCCCTAGCACTGCAAAAAACAAACTATTAGAGAAGTTTCTAATTTAAAAACAAATTTTTTTTGGTGCTGTCCCTGGAGCTTGAACTCAGGGTGCTGTCCCCAACCTTCTTTTGCTCAAGGCTACCACTTCAACCAGAGCTCTATTTTGGTTTTTTTTGGAGGGATAGTTTATTGGAGATATGAGTCTCATGGACTTCACTGCATGGGTTGGCTTTGAACTACAATCCTCAGAAGCTAGGATTACAAGCATGAGCCTCTGACACTTGAGATTTCTAATTTTAAGTGGTGCATAAATAGCATTGAAGAAGGTAAGGCGCATTCACCAAAAGACTGATTCAGACTTTGAAATAAAAAATTTTTAATGGTTATTATAAGGGTGATGTATAGAGAGGTTCCTTTAATTAAGTCAGTGATGAATACGTTTCTTTTTGGACATTGTTTTCAGACTCTAAATGGATTAATGGATTAAAAAATCCCTGTTAGGCATTGGTGATGAGTCTGTAAATCCTAGCTGTGTGGAAGGCTGAGATTAGGAGGATCATGGTTTGAGGCCACCCCAGGCTTCAAAGTTTATTGCCTAAAAAAGTTTTAGAGGCCTTTTCTTAACCCATACCTGGGCATAGTGGCATGCAGTTGCCATCCTAAGCAACATGGGAAGCTGAGCTTGGGAGGACTGTTGTTCCAGCCCAGCAGAAAAGTCAGAGACTCCATCTCAACAGAGGGAAATTGGATGCATTGGTACACAGCTGTCATCCCAGTGAATTTACCTAGTCAGGAAATGAGACCTTGTCTCAAAATAACGAGAGAAAATAACGAGAGAAAAATAAAACAGTATGACCCAGGAGTACCTGTCTAGTAAATAGCCTTGAGTTCAGACCCAAGTACTGCCCAAAAACCCTCCAAGAAAAGAAGTAACTTAATCTCCAGTTCATTAGGCTCACTTCTTTTGAGAGTTTTGAGTTTCTGTTGCAAACAGCATAGATTTTCAGTTACAGAGTTAACACTGAAAAGGAAGCTCTTGGAATAGTGTATATTGAACAGGACTTTCAAACAGTGGATCCTATATTCTGTAAACTGACCTTTCTTTCTGTATTATAGGCCCATTTATCACTGGAATTGCAAAGGGATAGCCACATGAAACAGCTGCTCCTCATCCAGGAGAGATGGAAAAGGGCAAAGCGTGAGGAACGGCTGAAAGCTCAGCAGAACACAGACAAAGACGTGGCTGCCCATCTTCAGGCATCTCACAAGCCCTCTGCTGAGGATGGGGAGGCTCAGAGCCCCCTTCTTTCTCACAAGTACAGCCCTTCTGTGGAGAAACACCTCCCTGAAATTCACGGGGTCTTTGACAGAGATCCAGACACACTTCTGTTTTTACTTCAGCGAAAGAGTGAACCAACAGAGCCGTGTATAGGAAGCAAAGCCCCAAAGGATGACAAAACCATAATAGAGGAGCAGGCAACCAAAATTGCAGAACTGAAGAGGCATGTGGAGTTCCTTGTGGTTGAGAATGAAAGATTAAGAAAAGAAAATAAACAACTAAAAGCAGAAAAGGCCAGACTTCTAAAAGGTCCAGTAGACAAGGAGCTGGACGTAGATGCTGACTTTGTAGAAAAATCTGAGTTGTGGAGCTTGCCACCACAGGCAGAGGCTGCCACAGCCTCGTCAACTTGGCAGAAGTTTTCGGCAAGTACCGGGAAAGCCAAGGACATTCCAATACCCAGTCTTCCTCCCTTGGATTTTCCATCTCCAGAACTTCCACTGATGGAGCTCTCTGAAGATATTCTGAAAGGACTTATGAATAATTAAAATGAAAGCCATTGGAGGTCAGAAGAAGAAATTACTCAGTAACAGTTCATTAACAGTTACTCCAGAAATGAATAAAAAGGGAAAACCACACCTGAGGGTAATCCTGGAAATCTATCATCATCTGGCACAATGTAGGAGAAGAGGCTTGCCAGGGCTTGAAAACAGTCACTGTGAAATGTGTCGCATACCTGATTCACTGACTTGAGCTAATGATTCCGACTTGGCAGACACTGAACTTTTGGAGGTTTGTTTTCTCCTGATGCAAACCAAATGGCTACCTGGAATAATTTTTTTGAGCAAGAATTTTTCTTCAGGGTTAAGTGTACAAAAATAGTATGTCACACATAATCTGTAATGCCATAAATGATAATGCAAACCCTAAATAATATGGTAGCCTGAGGGGCCGCCTTGTAGCTGAAACATGCTTTCTATCATGCAGTGACTGTATGCATTCTGTTATGCACATTTTGTTTAAACTACATGTGCCACACTTTGCACTACTCATAACATGATGATAACCTCAAGACTATCAGGAGAAATATAAATTTCCATTTTATGAAGAAAGGAACCAAATTTTAGTTACGCTTTTTTAAGAAAATTACCAGTTTACATAATTAATCAGGGTGCATTTTAAGTTCTAACTTTGTTATATAATGCATCATTTGAAAATACCAAGGAAGTATCCCTTGTATTTAATGATGCATGAGTGAAGTCATGCTAGTTGGCAGTATTTTGATTGTAAGAAATCAATAAAGTAATTGTGTTTCATGCCTTGGTTGAATGTGCTTGGTATGGTTAAAAAAGCAAGACATTGAATGGCTTCTTCCTCTGCTGAAAGGTTTGCACAGGGGTTTGGACAGGTGCTGTTAAATGATTACGATGCTTTGCTGAGATAGATGTGTGTGTAGGTTTTTTTTTGCATTGTTTTGTAACCCATTTCCCCTCATAAAGAGAATGTTCTGAGGATGTGGCTTCTTGGCCCTTTGGCTGAGATGAAGTAGAAGGTTCTTGAGGTTTAAATGTGTGCACTGCATTCTTGATCTCACACATGCTCTAGGCTATGGTCTGCTGTCCTCAGGGCACCTGCCGCTCAGTTGGAACATACCAAATGGAGAAGGTACTGCTTTGACATTCTCTACTCAAGTCCTCTAATGTTCTAGGAGAGTTATGGGGAAGAAGACACTGTAAACCAAACTTTTTTTGGGAGTCCGGTTGTGGGGCTTGAACTCTGGGCCTGGGCGCTGTCCCTCAGCTCTTCAGCTCAAGGCTAGCACTCTACCACTTGAGCCACAGTGCCACTTCTGGCTT